ACGCCTTTTTCAATGAGAAGAAATACCGAACAGAAATGATACTCTACATATTCTATCACTTTTAAATAACGAACGTAATATTAATAGTAGTAACAAATGTGTGTACGTCTTTTGAGAAAGATTAAACAGCCTATGTTTTAGAATAGACGCAATTCTTTAAACCTTGTTGAAAATTGCTTTATTTCAATGCGTAAAGTACAGGCTAGTTTTATATAAGGCCGCCTCTGTAGCTAAATGGTTAAACATGCCTGGCATTGCGTTAAGCGCAAAAGCTTCAAATTCCGTGAAACAATAAATTGTTTCGCTCGGGCAGCGCACATAAATCTGATCAGTTATTCGCCTGTAAAAAAAAGATCAGTGACACGGACACAGAAAAGTGTTCGCCCCATGCCCCACTAGGAAATTGGGATTTCACACACACACACACACTATACATAATTTTTGTGTCTTTATAGGAAGGTGTACTACCTTCCTTGTTGTACATATACTATTCTCGTCGTTTAAAATTTAAGTTGCATTTAAACTAGGTTTTATACGTATATAGATCGACTTGTTTGCGCATAGCGTCTTGCCTGTTGATTCAGGTTGTTTCCATTGTTAGCGTTTGTTTGTATATTGTATGCGTCAGTTGGTTCTTTGTAGGTATAAAGCAGTAAAATACAACTTTAATTGAATTTCTAATTTAGTAAAATAAACATTCAACTAAAGATATCTTCGCTTTAACAGTATAGTGTGTGTATATTTATGTTAGACCCCAACTAAATGGTTAACTACTCTGTAACTAAATGGTTAAGTGTGTAGCCTAGGATTGCGTTAAACGCCAGAGCTCCTGGGTTCGAACTCCGGGGAAACAATAGATTGATTCGGTCGGTCTGGGCATAGAAGTGTGATTAACTACTTATCTATTGTTGTAGTGTATTATTTGTTCAAGATTAGAATATTTTTTAAATATGTCCAATTATTTATATGGTCTACGTCTTGGGCATTATTTGTTGATAGAGGTTTAGAAGTTTGTCACATAACTAAAACATACATTCCCTTTAACTTTGCCGCGGTCGGGTATAAAGCTAAGGTACGTTTCTAAAACAAGAGTACTAAGACCACTGGCGTACTCCGAAAGTCCTTTTAACCGGTCTTCAATTACTGAGTACCATATAAGGCATAGCCATTCAGAATAAAAGGGTTACAGTTTCAGATAAAAGGTTTTATTGGGTACGCCCATGATGTAGACTTAGATTTGTAAAGTTTCATAACAAGTAAACATTCGATGAATTTGACTACGCAACAATGATGCTCAAATACACAATAATCCGTCAACCATGACATTTGAGGGTCAGCATCGATTCTCACGACTCGCACCTATCGGCCTATCATGAGAATTGCAATTACGCGATTGTTATCGTCAACCGGGAAATAGTATATAGCCTGGCAACGATACATTAATTAAGAATGACGGTAGTCGGTAATTAAGTAAGTTTTAATAGTTTAAAATGCGGAATATATTATTTGATTAAGTTTCACGATGACCCCACGTTTTGGATGTGTGTATGATGTGTATATAAATAAAACAGGTAATTTATGGTTACTTTAGGACTGATTTTTTTTTTGTGTAAAGAGAAATATTGGCTTCTATTTTGGCCTATATAATACATTTATGTTTTAAGGTAATTGTGACTTTGGATATTCAGTAATCCACAGACTGAAGCCAAAACGAGTATTTATTGACGTGGCTTTTTCAACGCCGAACCGCGGTTTGTGACCCCGACAGAATTTCCTCCCCTTATTTCTTAATTTTCCAGACGAAGTGGTTTATTAGTCATACATTCTACCATTGCACCAACAAGCCCATCGTTCCATATTCTTGCATAGCCAATTATTTATTGTTATTTTCATGTCAAATTGTATCGCAATTAAGTAATCTCAGAGCTAATTGTTTGTGTTCATGACCTGTTGTAGCGTGATCGTTACATTTCTGCAAATCATAATAATTGTTGATAATGCGAATCCTTCGTTACTGAATTTATTAATCATGCGATCGGACATCATGCAATTGTGTGACCCAGTCGTGTGACCGTGTCATTCTTGCTTAAGACATACAATATATAAGACATATAATGGAATATCAGGATAAATATAAGAAGTTGCCAATATTTGTTGGTTAGAATAATTAAAGAATATATATAATGATTAAAATAAACTTTTTGCTGACTTAATCATGAATGTAAGTATGGCTTATATAAAAAAATAAACATTAAAGAAGCGAAAAATATTAGTTATTTTATGCAAACCAACTGTCGCTTCATAATGCTGCCCCTCGGTTGGTAAAAATAATATACTTCCTGCTTTAGACCGTCAAAAAAGTTTTTTTGGGTATGAACATTGTGTATTATTATATATACAATTGAATATACATTTTTAAATCGTCGTTAAAAAATACATAGACGGAATGTATAATGTTCCTTATTTTAAACTTCGGTATCTGAAGTTAAGTTAAACTTCAGTTAACGATGAAATAAGCACAGTAAAGCATATATATATATATATATATATATATTTATAAGAGAAACGATCATCACGCCGTCTGGCACCGCGACGAAGCCCAAAATTAAACTTTACGAGAAACGCACTTAAACATTTTGATAATATGCCAAAAGTGCTATGTTGTGGTCGTTAAAAAATCGACGTGTGAGAGCTTGGCTCTGGGCCAGAAGTTATTAAATCGTAATCGAATATTGAACTATAACTAGTTATAATCTCCGGAATAATCATGTGTATGTGAATTTTAGTTCTCACTGTAATAACAATTGCACTATACTAAATTAATTAAAGTATTAAAATTTGATTAGAATTGTCATATTATGTCTCAGTCGAATAATAATAATAAAATAATTTTTTATGTTTCCTTAAAGCTTCAGCATTTTTAAGATCTTATGGCCTTCTATTGATACACGATCTCTACATTGACGTGTAATTTATATTTTTTAATTATTATTAACGGTGTTTGGAATTTTCCGAAATAATAAGCGTATAGATCCCACGTTGTTTATAGTCTTCTACCCTTACTATAGAGACAATATTTTTATAGTATAAAACAGTTATTAGTACCTATTATAAGGGGCACTAATGGGCCTTATTTTCATTCATAAAAGACAGTTATCTCGTCCAATTACTGGAATTGCTAGCGGTCTCAATAAAATTCATTTCATTAAATCTCTGCCATTCGTAGCAGACATTAAAATCTTAGAGTTCATTAACATAAGATAAATTTCTTCGTGATACAGAATACATAAACTATACATTATGCGTTTGTGTGTTTATGATAAAGAAATATTATCTATCGATATACAATTAAAATATAATTGTAGAGCTTATTCAAAGTAACTGGTAATTACTATAATAATTAATTTAAGCTTGCATTATTCATATTTAAGCTAAGACAAGCTTTCGAAAGTATTAGGGAATGATAATGATAAAACGATGGTGAAGTAGGAAAAGTTAAATATTTTTCAAATCGACACAACATACGCTAAGCTAAGCAATCGCAGATGTTAGTGTTACGGTTCTCACTAATAACTCGTGCGCACGAGCAAGAACAATGCTTACAAAAGGGAATAAACTTCACATAAACCTTGCATAAGCATTAATTCAAAAACTAATCTACGTAACAAAAAGTCATGCGCGCGCGCAGCGGTGCCGGTCGGCGCTTGGTACGATCGAGTAACGACCTTTAGACACTGTACACATGCACCATGTCTATGTATACATAATTGGGTATAAACTAATAGAAGTGGAAAATAATAAGGCTTAGATTTAAGACTTTAGACTTGCACTAACATCAAGAAAATCTAAAATAAGACTCAAACGCAAAGTTACTACTTTTTTATGATAGACAAAGAGCGAGAATAGACAAGCTCGGGGTTTACTTGATGGTGGGTGAAGACCCCAGCCGTATAAAAAGCCGTCCATCGATTCAGGCTTTCGATATAAAAAAATTAAGTCTGAAACCGAAACGCGATTAAGTTTTACGGCTATTTCGAATTTCCCACCACCCGTTTAATATCCAGATTTCTAGGCGAAGTCCAACATGTTTCAGAAAAATGATAAGCTGATAAGAAAACAGTAGGGATCGGTGGGGGTCGAAATCGCAACCTAAATATCTACTGTTTGTTGAGAAGGTCTATTATATACATAGTTCAAAAATCCAGTGCTCATAGACGATGTAATTATTTCAACCGTAGAAAAAAGATAAGGGCTAAAAAACAAATATTGTATTTCAACCCTTTCTCAGATAGGGTCAAGAAACAACTAGTCACTCAAATCGGATTCTTTGCAGCTGCGCTCCATCAAGCCACTAAAGACATTTTAATTATCTGTTTACACAGGTTTATCTAACCGGATGCACCGTTATGCGCAAAGGCACGTGCGTGTTACGTAAAAAGATTTTTTTATTATATCTCTCTTAATACAGTAGTACTAACTACAGGTAGAAAACCAGTTAATCACAAGATATGTTACTAGATACGTTGCTAATACATTTCGCGTTTTAAACCGTTAACGATGGTTTATTTCAATATCTCTAATTCTGTTATAATAATTACAATTATGTGAAGATATTATTTTTCAAATTTGTTTCTACAATACTATAGCTACAAATGAGTTATTAAATTACACGAATTTTCACCTTATCGAAGAAAACTTAACATACCTCGAATGGTTAAGACACGTTTCTTTTAATTTCTAAAAAACTATATTAAATTTATGTATTTATTCTATTAGAAAGCTCAGCGATTAATGTAATACATATTCTAATAAATTTCCGATTTAGGAGTAATTTATTTCACTTAAGGTGAAATCTAAATATATATAACTCAAACGCGACTGACTTACGTAGTGAGTGAGCGAGGGGATGAAAGTTTGTAAATTGTATTGTGTTGTTGTGTTGTGGAAATCTTCATCGATTTTCAGCTCATTAGACTTATTGAAAAAATATTTTAGCTACAATGATGAAGAAGTTTGTTTAAATAGGACTCTGATAAATTTAACCCCCATGGGGGATAAAATAATGAATGGTGGAGGATTTAATTATTAATTTGAGTAGGCCCTAATTTTTTACACACGCTTAACAAAAATAAAGCCGTAAATACCTAATTAATAATTATACTTCGAAACGCGAGCGAAGCCGCAGGAAAAAGTTAGTTGTATAGTGTGTGATGCATTATGAAGTTGTGAAACAAAAAACTAAATCTTCAAAATATTGTTGCAGAGGCGTTTTCCCCTGGAAAAGCAATCCTACGAAAAGCCAAGAAACGCCCAGCGGCACTTGGAAACTGTTCGGGAAATCGAACGGTGTGTCCAAGAGCACAGAAGTCCAGAAGAGCCTCACTCCTTCGTCTTCCGTCAGCAGCACCCCGCATCATCACAAGAGGCAAGGCAGCTCGGCGAGTGAGAAGCAATTTGAGGATCTCGTGGCCAGTTCCATAGCGCTAATACAGCATGATAGGTGAGTCTATGCTTTCGGTCGTTAAAAGCTTAATATTAAAATATATTTGGATGTAAAGAAAATCATTACTGCTGCAATCGAGCTGGTTTCCACTTGCTTCTGCTATAACCGATTGAGCTACCGTGACGCACACGTCATCATCAAATTTCTTTAACGCGTTGGTACATGCAACTCTCGCGCAATGTAATTTTAACTTTCAACGCCAATTTACGTATTCATGTTCAATATTCTATGTTGACAGTTTAAGAAATCATTGAAAATGAAAATACTTGTTTGAAAACTTTATTACATTTCACATGTGCAATGAACATGATGGCATTATATAAGTTAAACATCTATTTGGGTTTAAAAACCGATATTAAAACAAACACTTTTACGCTGAAAAGGGCTTGAACAATCTTTTTATAATTTAAATAAAAAAAATTGTATGTGTACGTTAAAAAAAATGTTAATAATTTAAATTAACTTTTGCTTAAAAACACTCGACCGCCAAACTATAAATTTTAAAACTATTAATATACAGCAGCTAGTTTGTAATTAATATCTATACTAATATATAAAGCTTGTATATGTAGTTTGTTTGTTTGAACGCGCTGATCTCGGGAACTACGGGTGAGAATTGAAAAAAATTGTGTTAGTTAAAGCAGTTATCGAGGAAAGCTATAGGCTATAAAACATTGCGCTCGACGTCGTGGCTAACAGCTTAAGTTTATAAAGATGACGGGGTTTGCAAAAACTAATTTGGATGCCCAAAATAACGATTCTCGCGGACGAAGACGCTGGCACAGCTAGTTATTTAAATTTTAAACGATTGAGACAAGCGATGTTAGATAGAATGTTTCTTAGGCAGTTTATTTTACAAAAAAAAAAACATCCGTATATAGGCTCGGTAGGTTAACTGGTTAGAGGAACAGCACGGAACGCTGATGATGCCGGTTCAAGTCCTGTCCGAGTCGAACATTTTTCAATTTATTTTCGATTTTTAATCAACATCCCTCATATTTCGCATTTCAATGGTAGTAAACCACCATTGAAATGTCATTCAAAGAACTTATCAGAGTTATTGAGCCTATGATTGATAATGCCGGATACTGATAGAGCTTTATTATCACCCACATGCTGCAGTTACAAGAGCTAATGGGCTATTCACAGTGGCTTATTGATTAGTTTTATTACAGTGTATGAGAAAAAGGGGAGGATTATGTTAAGTACTTTGATGAACAAATGATGAAATACTGTCTATAGTTTATGCGAGTAGTACACATTGAAATAAAACACTTTAACGGTTTAAAACCCGATATATTAGTTAAACTTATTTGAAACTGGTTTTTAACTTCGGCCCGAAGTTTCGGATGCTTTGCAGCAGCCATGGTCACGGGGAGACTAAAGATGGAGGATGTCTCTGACGTCAAAGTAAAATATTGCTAGGCTACGTCGGGCCGAAGTTAAAAACCAGTTTCAAATAAGTTTAACTAATATATCGCGTTTTAAACTGTTAAAGTGTTTTATTTAAATGTGTACTACTCGCGTAAACTATAGACAGTACTTAATATATCGCGTTTTAAACCGTTAAAGTGTTTTATTTTTGAACAAATGATGTCGAGCTCGTTGGTATAATAAATGTATGGCAATGTATGGCATTATATCCAACATTTTTCAGATCAATTTACAATTTTTCTAAAACATATTGGACTTCGTTTGGGAACCTCGTAAATTATTGAGAACATGTCGAAATTCCGTTCGGATCATAAACCGTCTACAGATGAAAAAGCCGTCAAGTTTAATCTTGTTTCGGTTTTAATCTGTGGTTTTTGAAATATATAAAGGCAAAATAGGTCGATAGCGGTTTAGAAGTTCCGTCGTTACCCGGACAGAATTTCGAAATTCATACCAACTAAGGAAAAAAACCCTCTGTTAGCTGTTCGTTAGGTTCTAACGTTTTTGTATTTTATTATGAAAAAATAATATTTTATATAGTTTAATATGTGAATATATTGCGTTTTGGCCTTTGAATGCCTTTACTAGGACCCCTTCCTTACAGTTATTAAAACGCCCATTAAAATATCCGACCCGGTCCCTAGAAAGGGTCGTTGCCCGTTCTCTATACAGTTCACAAGTTCAGCCGTTGACTACTTAACAAATGCTGAATAATTCTTAATTTAGTGCAATTAACCTCATTTCTTTTTGTCGAAATACTCTTGTACAAAAGGACATAAAAGTTAGGCTATGGAGATTCCTTAGAGTACATATGAAGTTTATTTAGTACTTTTCTCGACTAACCTTATGACAATCTGTGCCAGCGACTTTATCTTCGAGAATCGTTATTTTTGTATCCAAATTAGTTTTTACAAACCCCTTCTTTATAACGAACGAACGACCCACGAAGTCGGTCGCGTCCCTTCCCGTTGTTCTTGCAAGTTAATCTTAAAAGATAGACATATAGCGTCGCGAACTTTAGATTATTTAAAGAGGAATGATTCTCTTATTCATACATATGTTTGAGTATCGTGAACCGTTTTGCAGGCAAACTAACTCTTTAGCACAAACACAACAATATGAATTAGTATAGATTTTAAGTATCCGTTATAAGTTTTACACTTGACGTAATTAACCTCTTCGTGTTAAATCATGATACACAACATTTATAGAACTGGAAATGAGCAGGTTTATTTGTTCTATATGTATATAATACAGTACTTTATTAGACAATATTCATTGCATTTATTCATATAAATCACTGATTGCGTGTGTGCAACGCATCTACATAGCATAAAAAGAAATCTCCATCTAGAGAGAGTTTGTTGATCAAAACATAACACGACTGTCAATTTAATACTTTATTTCTATAATCCTACGTAAGAAGTATATTTATTTATTTTCAATTCACTATTATTACGACAGCGAGTTACATGTACGAAATTAGAAGGTTACATTTGTAAAACGAATGTTTCCCTAGACAAAAGTTGAATTGTTATAATTATTTCATCACTATGTAAAAAACTTTTCCACCGCCAACTACAGCTGTCGTTTGCAAATTTAAAATTAGGCATTCTAAGAAAGTTAAGTTAAATAATCATTTTTAACCGTTAAAAACGCGAAATGTTCCAGTTAAAATATTTTAAATTGACGGTAACTACGGCCTGACGTTTTGGATACTTTGCGGCAGCCGTGGTCTGCAGCTGTCCCCCGTGACCCCAGCTGTTTAATATACTCTATAGCACATAAAACACACTTTAATTAATATAATTCGCTTTTTAAATATGTAGTTAAAATTGGTCCATTTAAAAATTATTTACGTCAAATCTTATTCTGTGGACAAGGGACAATCGCGCTGCTTAGCGTTGTGATAAGCACGAGAGCTTCTGACTTTGAAAGCCTGATCAACAACTTGCCTGTTAATTAAATTAACAAAGAAACGGCCATAGAATTATGTTACTACTATACATTCCTATTCCAAAGTACTAGTCTCATAGTAATCTAAGATGATATTAATCATCAGTCAGACTCGCGGTCAATTAACTACAAGAGCGGAGAATATCGTGAGATTCCAGTGATATAAGGCAAGTAGTTCAACTACCCGCATTACGGTACTAGGGCCAATTAAAGGCAGGACTTATAGATATACTTAGAATAAGAACTCAATGGGTAACTGTAAATTATTATATATAGATTATAAACTACACTATGCTCTTGAATTACTTAATATAGCTGCGTAGCCTTTAATATTTTTCACATGTTATGACATATTCTAAAAATTGAAAGACGAATTTTGATTTTTTTTTTAACCGGCATGGGGTCAGTACCTGAACCTGCAACGACAGCGTTCCGTGCTGTTGCTCTAGCTACAGACTAGCTAGCTAACTACAAATCTTATTATCTTAAAAGAAAAGAGTAGATCTTACAATTTATGATTATAAAGTTTTTAGAAATATAAGCGTAGTAGATCTATCTGGAAAAGATTCTACTAAAAAATACAACTAAATGTCGGTTGCAAAATAAGTTGCCGTTCCCAGAAATGGAACTTATTTCTACAACAAAAAGAAGTGAAAATGTCAGTCCTGCCTTTGTAAATTCTTTCTTTTTTGTACAATTAATGTAAGGCTGGTGTTTTTGCCATTGGAATTTTGTATTTAACAATTAAGTCAAAAAATTAAAACCTAGCGCAGATAATACGAGTATAAGAAAATGATAGAAATCGTTCTAGTACAATCTCTGAAGAATCGTTCAGCAATCAGCGATTTCGCAAACCGTTGTTAATTAAATCGTTCATTAGTATGATACTTAAGTTGTTGTTCCGTTAATTACAATAACACTAAACCACGACTGAACACTGGTTTCCCGAGGATCGTTAGGAATCTATTAGCGACCCAATTGTTGAAGTGCGAATTTTTTTTTAATGATGTACAGGTTTTGTTTGTTCGCGTGTAAAACTTCAATATAGTAAATCATTGGTGGTATAGTAATAATTTTTTGGACATGGATTCGACCACATAAATCGTAATTTTATTAGAATTAACCGCATCAGGAGTTTTTAGCATTTAGCAAGAAAAGTTGAGTGGTGTCCCTCCACATTCATCTCTACTAATATTATAAAGCTGCAGAGTTTGTTTGTTTTAACGCGCTAATCTCTCAAAGGCCTGGTTCGGATCGAAAAATTCTTTATGTATTGGTATATCGGGGAATACTTTAGGCTATAAAAACATCACGTTGTGGTCATTAAGAGCTTAGAAGCTGTGGAAAATGTGGAAGAAACGGGAAAATTTATTTAGCTTTAAGGATTCCCGTTGCGCTGCAAAAACGGTTCAAGACACAAAAAAATATATATGTGTCGCATCCGGGTCATGCGTACGGGACGTCAACAACACAAACGTCACTTCGACGTGTACAGAGTCTAGGCAACGGGAGGGGGCAGTTATCGTTGGCATCGTCATAAGTCACCTGCCAAGGAACTCACTATTATTATTTCTCACCCGGAATCCTGCTGATTCCGGCAATGAGTGACCAAGAAGACAACGTGACTCCGACATATGAAAGAATGATTCTTCTTAATATGATCTATTAAATGTCCGCGACGGTATATATCTATCTTTTAAGGTTACCTTGCAAGAACGACGGAACGCGGACGACGTCGTGCAAACACAAATGGATGCCCAAAATACCTAACAATTCTACGCATTGTATTCTTCTCTATTTTACCTTGTTAAATTGAAAAATCTGTAAATAACAGGCTCAATAGTTAGCTCTTTACAATTCCAGACCATCAAACCTGCCGGCTAAGTGCACGGAAGAAGCGCTGCGCCATAAAGCTGAGCATGCACGCATGGTCGAGGCCGCACGGCGTCGCGTGGAGCGCGAAGCGGCCGCCAGGCATGCACGCATGCAAGAGTCGCATCGAATGGAGGAGAGGCTCGCGAGACACGCCAAAGAGTGGACCCAGAATATTCTTCCTGATTGGCATAATATGTATGTAGTTTTTATTTAACCTTTTTATGTATGCGCCTTGTTTTCACACTTAAATAAATATATCTTCTATTTACATAAAACACTTTAACGGTTTAAAACGCGATATATTAGTTAAACTTATTTGAAAATGATTTTTAACTTCGGCCCGACGTTTCGGATGCTTTGCAGCAGCCATGGTCACGGGGAGACTGAACTGACTGAAACGTGGGGCCGAAGTTAAAAGTTTTAAACCGTTAGAGTGTTTTATTTAAATATGTACTACTCGCGTAAACTATAGACAGTATTTATCTTCTATTTTTTATTTCTTATATTCTTCTTTTCTCAATTTTATCTTAAAAATTATTATTTATACAGTAGTGGTTAATATAAGTATTACAATAAAATTTCTTAGAAATGGTAACTCTTTATAACAGAGGAGGACAGTCTGAAAGACCAGATGTGGTCAGTGGTTGGTGACCCGGACGGATTTTAGATATTCCTTCAACCAATTTATAATCCTCATTATCCAAATGCAGACCAATATATTAAATAAGTAAAATGTTTCTTAAATAGATTTAAGAAAAATGTTTACCCGTTGGAAAGCGAACCCATGAAGATCGTTTATAAGCTACTGCTGAACCAGCTTGTTAAAGGCTCTGTTTAAAGTCGATTTTTAATACGTAATGGATTAATAAGAGTATGATAACTTTGGTTTTCTGAAACTGCGACTAATCTAAGATATGCATTTTTATTAGTTACGCTACTTGGAAGTAGTTTATTTTTATCAGCTACTCTGCGAGTTCTTGACGACTTCAGATGACTTCGATAAGAATTTGTTTATGCTATGTCTGTGCGTTTTTTCCCTCTATCGTCACGTGCCATCTATTTCGCTATTTCATAGTCTCTGACTTCATAGATATTGTATACTATTTCCTTAATGTAGGTACAATAATCGTACGTATAAAGTATCATAGGTGAAAAAAGCGTGTACTATCATCATGATAACGCATATGCATGCACAAAAATTTACTTTAAATGAAATAAGGAAGTACTTTATCGTCAACTGTCTTTATACTACAATAGCATTGCGTAAATATGATCCTGGGTTCAAATCTCGGGGAAATTAGAAATCGTTTCTGTAGGCAGGGCTCAGGAGTCCGGCCAATTATTTGTCTATAAGTAAAATCGATCAGTGAAACGGACACACAAATGTGTTCGCCCCATGTGTGCTCTTTTATTGTTCGTTTTCATAGGTTTATTTAATAATGTAAAAATTACAAATGTCTAAGTAGGTGACTGTCGGTCGTTATACTTTATTTATTTGTGTCAAAATATCATTGAACTCAGGTCAATAGATTAATTGAACAATGCAGCACTTTTTGCGGCCTCACTTATGTGTGTCGCGCTCGTGAGACATTTTGTTTATTGAATATGAGCAAGCGAAATTCTTTTGTTTTATGCGGAATTTCTATATACATTTTTTTCGTAGTAAATTAATTTCTCTGATTTCTCCTCTTCCAGGAAGAACGCAAAACGTACACTCGAGCTGTGGTGGAGCGGTCTACCCCCCTCCATCCGAGGTAGAGTCTGGCAACTAGCGATCGAGAACAAACTCAAAATCACACACGAAATGTACCAAGACTTAGTGGACAAAGCGAAACAGAAGCTACAAGAAGCCCAACTCCGAAGAAAGCGGTTAAAAGTCAACAAAACGACATGCGGCTGCAAGAAAGAATTTAGCACTGACGATAGGCTAAGTGTAAGTAGAGAAAAACTAGGAAAGAGTGACGAGAAAGCAGTAAAAAAAGACAAAATAGCAGTAGATAGCAAAGAAGAGAAACCAGAAGGCACGGAAAGTACGGATTCGGAGAGATTAACGAATCGAGAGAAATTTGACAGTTGCGATGACAAACCTAGGCTTGGCATGCCCAGAAACTATAGCGAGCAAAACCTCAAGACCATGAACAGTGAAACGTGTGAAAAGAAGTGCTGCTCGAAATCGAACCCCAACCTCCTAGAGTACAGTGACGAGTGTTCCATGGAATTGATACAGTTGGACATTGCACGGACGTTTCCGCACTTGTGTATCTTTCAGCCTGGTGGGCCCTACTTCGATGTGCTGCATGAGCTGCTAGCTGCGTATGTCTGTTATAGACCCGACATTGGTTATATACAGGTGAGATATTCGTAGGCGTACTTCGAGACATGTATTAATAGAAGCATTGTCTATGGACAAAATGTTTAACCCCTTTTTCCTCCAATAACAAAGATAATACTTTTGGAAGTCAGGAGCGGGCGAGTGTGGGTGTATTGTGTGTGAGTGTGGGTGTGTATATCAGCGTCGGCAATTAAATGATCGTATCAATATTTTTTTATTGTTAAACCCTCAAAAGTTTTTCAGTTTATTCAGATTCAGAGAGGTGGAGGTTTTCGTATCAATCCCATCCCATACCCATCGTGTTCGTAGACAATACTTCTCCAACGAACTAATTACTAACCTTACTTAAAAGATACGCCTCGTATTACTTTGCTCTTTACTACAAATTTAGATGTACAAAACCCAAATAGTAAATTAAAATTACGCCCAAAGGGTTCAACCCAAGAGCTCATGATGTATAGTCGAGTACACTAACCACTAAACCAATGGGACTATAGCTGGGGTGTTTCTGTAGCAGAAACCTTAAAATAATTTCTCAATTACAGGGTATGTCGTTCATAGCCGCCGTACTGATACTGAACATGGAGGCGCCTCAAGCGTTCGTGTGTTTCGCGAACTTGCTCGACGGCCCCGTCTTAAGAGCCGCCTTCACAAGGGACGGAGCGATGATGCAGGTAAATTAAACATTTTTATCAGTTTAATACGTGCAATCTTTTAAAAAAAATTGTAAATAAATACTAAAATCCTATTGTTTATATCTTCAAGCGAGTGTAATTTCAAAAGAAACATACATTTAATTTCAGCGCCTATGGAAAGCGTATACAGCCCTCCTCCATCACAACCTTCCATCACTAGCGGAAGCGGTCGCACCAGAGCTGTACTTGTTGGAATGGTTGTACACGGCCTTCGCTAAGGCGATGCCCCTCGACGCCGCATGTCGGGTTTGGGACGTGTTCCTGCGGGACGGGGACACATTTTTGTTCAATACCGCTTTAGGTGAGTTCAATGAGATCCATTTCCTAACTAAATGGTAATACTTTTTTTTGGCACATGTTATCGAGATTGGTATAACTTTTAGCCGTTACTTTGTTTATATGTAAAATCTTAGTGAAATACCACACTTTTAAGACACAAACACAAAAAAATGTAACCTAGCTATCCCCAAATATAGGCTCCATAAAATATCTAATTTATTTGCGGGGAACTGTATTCGTATGTACAATACATTGCCAGTTGTCAAATTTATCGATAAATAAAATACTTTGACGGTTTAAAACGGGATATATTTGTTAAACTTATTTGAGAATTATTTTTAACTTCGGCCCGATGTTTCGGATGCTTTGCAGCACCCATGGTCATGGAGAGACACGCGTGACCACGGCTGCTGCAAAGCATCGCGTAAACTATAAATAGTATTTGATAAATAAGTTTTATAAAATTTGTCTTTTATCTATCTGAACGATTTCTTTAATGACAAGACCGCCTGGCAGTAATATGGATTGCTTGCTCCCTAGGTTAATAAATTCACAATGTATTAGTTTATAAGACATGTTTAAAAAAGCCGGACTGAGTTTCTTGGGTGTTCTTCTCAGTTATGTTGCTCTTTTAAACACTCTGTAGAATCACGACAAAGAAAACAATTTTGACGAATCACCGTTCAGTTTCAGTCTGTGGGTTTCTGAATGTCCAAAACCAAAATAGGTCGACCGCGAATCTTGTTTAGATGCTATAGGCTGGGGTATTTCACACACCATCAAGTGAAACCAAGACTTCTCTGTCCTCCTAAATCATTATACCTCCTATCATTCAAAATATCTACGTTACAATTAATATAACTATCTATATAAAGTACTATATGCCATTTGCAGGTATCCTCCACCTGTACCAAGATGAACTTAAAGACATGGACTTCATATCAGCGGCGCAGTTCCTAACCAAACTGCCCGAAGACCTTGACCCCGAAGCACTCTTTAAAAGTATCTCCACAGTCTCCATGACGTTAGACGGCATGTCCTTCGAGGAGCTGGTCTCGTGCTGCCAAGTGGAAGAGACCTTGGACGATGACGTCACCGTCAGGTTATGATACAGGAGTAGCTTTTGGGACGTACTCGATATATTGTCAGAGAGATTTGGTTTATAGCACTAAATGCAAAGCTGTTAGAAGCCAATATAACCACCAAAGCAAGGAGAAGTCCTATATATCTTCAGACATATTCATAATTACGAATAAACGTGACCTTCGTGTATGAAAAGTTTGTTTGTAATCGGTAAATTCTATGTATTCTCTCTACTGAATATACTTGTCTCTTTCCTTCATATAGTGTTAGAAAGAGACAACAAGCAACTTAAGCTATATTGCGGTAAAAAGCAGCTATATCCATGTATATAGTTGTCTCTTTTGCCTTCGGCTTATTCTTTTAATGTTTATTCTGTGATTAATGGAAATTGGATTTCAATGGACTGCGATTAGTGACTGTAATTTTTGTAAAGAAATATCTGAAATTATATTATTATATTGAAAATTGAGCTTTGGTGTTTTAAAATATTAGGCTATTCTGTAAGAATGCAACGGCAGTTGTATTTAGTGAAATATAAAAGGTATTAAATTGGAAAAAAAATTGAAACATTGTGTATATACATATTATAGAATAAAAGGATTATTTAAAAATCTTCCATTCTACTTTATATATAAGATAATTATGACAAGATTTTCTAGCTTCTTGTCTACCTTATGAAACGCTTTTTACGGTTTAAAACGCGAAATATATTACATAACTAATATTATGGGATGCCACTGTCTCAAGCCCAGGCAAGCGCCACTAAAAATAAGTTGACACGTTTTAATCCGTCAAAAATGATTTATATCTTTAATTCAAAATCAACATATCATAATAGAGATTATCATAGGGGTAGTCGTGAATTAACAAGTTGCGTACCTGTATGTTACAACTACTCGTCCATATTGTATATATGTACATATTTATATACTTTAATGTAAATAGTTGTAAATAGAACGTCAATTGTCATTAGTGTAATTACTAACACAACGAGTAGTATACCGGCCTAATAGTTAATGATCTTCGAGGAATCTTTCGAAATAATTCTATTATTAATAAATAGCTATTATTAATAATATAGTTTGAAGAAGTTATTGTCATTTTCTTATATACCACGTCTGTCTACTGTGCTAAGTTATCAATTGAGGCTGGTAGAGGCAGAGTGGCCTAATAACATGATTTTCAATAAGGCGGAAAAAATTTGCAATTAACTTGGGTGAAAATGAATTTGTAGTATTATTTGTGTAAGAATTTTGTTTACAATTTTCTGTCTGAAATAAGTGAAGTCATAAAATTGCAGTTAGGCTACTCTGCCTCTAGCGGTCTCGATTGTAATGTCACTTGGTTGGCTAAATAGTTTTCAGATGTCTTATTACAAATTAAATTTTTATAAAACTCTGACGCTAGTACATCATTGTCTTTCAGGCTGTCCGGCCGATGTGGACGGCATGATCAGGAAATGTTAACACCTCGATTGCTCGAAGACATATTATTAATTCTTCGAGCAATCGTCGGCCGAACAGCCTAAAAGACAATGATATGCTGAACGATGGTCGTGAAAGCCTTACACAATTTATTCTGACGCTAGTAATCAACGGAACGTGGGTTCGATTCCAATAGCGTTCAACATATTTATAATGAATGTATAATTTTTGTGAAACATGTTGGATTTCGTCTGGAATATGACTGGATATTCAATCTGCGTTCGGACCATAAATAAAGAAGCCGTTAAGTTTAATCGTTTTTTAGTTTCAGTCTGTGGTTTTTCGAATATCCAAAGCGAAAATAGACCGACAACGCATTCCGTTGAGATGTTATATGGCTGGGGTATTTTATCTTCCATCATTCTCCTCTACCATATAGATTGAAAACTGCGCCATCTTTTATTAGTTTTTAACCTTATTTTTTACATATAAATAATCATTTAGAATCATGTAGCTATTTATAATACTCTTTTTTCATTATATTATTTACTTCTATCTTTTTGATTATCACATAAATTAATATATTATTTAAAATGAACGTTATATAAATCATCATAAACCTTTGTTTACCATAAATATTTAATATTATCTTTGTGGTTGCAGTTGAAGCACTTAAACCATTTATTATGTGAACAATGCCTATATGGTTGTCCCTTTTTAATATATGTATTTTCAAGTTTAGAGAACGAAACAAAACATTGTAGTAAATCTAGTTGATATGAATATATAATATGTGTATATAAAAACAATATATAGTATTTATAGCCAGTCGTTTCTGTCTGTATAATCTCAATGAGTGAGAAATACGACCTATATTTTATTATTTATTTTTAAAAAAGCTATATCAAATCTAAAAGCATGTTTTCTTTATTTTTATGTATATTTTATATTACTGTAGCTGTAATTAGCTTAAAAATCATTGCTTTAATGTTTCTTGCCACTAACACTTTTTATCTTTGGCACATAATGTTTTTAAATTTAAATAATGTATGTTCTTTGTAGCGCTGTTTCAGGCTTATTAAAGTTTATGTAACTTCTAAGTATGTAATTTCTAAATTCATGTCAGATAATATGTAAGTTTATATAAATATTATAATTATAGATTATAAACGCGTTGAGCAGTTGTGACGAGGACTGATATTATTAGAAAGCCATCTCAAGTTTTAATCGAAGTTTAAGATAAGGTACTGTAGCCCCAAGCGATAAGAAATATGATAATAAAATGAATATGTCGAATTTCATTTTTTAATTCCAGACCCAAAATAAGAAATTCACATTTTAATTTAGTAACGGGTTGTCTTGGCACGAGGTAAAAGTGTTGTCTCTTTCGCACTACTTACAAAGAACAGGGACACTAAACTAAACTACACACAGTGGGTTTGACGTTTTCAATTCCTAATAACTCGTTTCGTTATAGACTTCCAACAGATTTTTGCATTAAATATACACAACTTCTAACAATAATTAGATGAATGATGCATTTATAGAGAAAGCTCAGAATAAAACAGCCTATGTAACATAATTTTACGCGAAAAACAAGTAAAAAAACAAGTTACATAGAATATTCAATACAGATAACGATTTTGGGAGTCTTCGTGTTGATATAACCCCACCTTGAACTCTACATTATCTATTTTTACAGATAAGATAGTATATTTCAGTTAAGTACGATATAAAACATTATTCGAACAATTCTGTATGTTTTGTGAGTATTTTGTTTTTAACTATACCGACGTTTATATGAAGTTACATACATACCTTAACAAAATGTAATATATTTAAATAAAACACTTGAATGGTTTAAAACGCGATATATTAGTTAAACTTATTTGAAAATGATTTTTAACTTCGGCCCGACGTTTCGGATGCTTTACAGCAGCCGTGGTCACGGGGAGACTGTCTCTGTTAAAGTGTTTTATTTAAATGTGTACTACTCGAGTGAACTATAGACAGTATTTAAAATGTAATATATTTAAAAAAGCCGATGCAAGAACTTGAAATGGCTGGTCTGAGGACAAAGAAGAGCTTACTTGTAAAGTCGACAGCACAAAAAAAAACAATGGGAAACATACATACATATTTTTAATATATTACATATATTTAATATGCAGCAATCAGAATAAGACTTAAATTTTGTCTTGGTGGCCTCTATTTTATTAATTCCAAGTAAACTTACACTATAAATAATACTAGCAATTATTATTTCATTATTTTGTTAAATAATTAATAGTTAAAGAGGAAGGAGAATATGAGACTATATACAATAATGCTTAATCACAATTATTAATTGCTTTTTAACTACGAAATAAATAAGATTCGCAATTGTTAAGTACTAACACACGTTTGCACTAAAACGTCATAATGACACTGGGTATTAAAAATAATAGATTTTAGTCAATAATAAAGTGTTATTATATATGGGTTCTTTAAGTAGCAAGAATCAGTAAGTTACATGTAAATATCATTAATACGTTTCGTGTTAAAATAATTTTCAGCCACTGGTAACTTGTGCTAGATTGTGTCAGTATTCGCCGAAATAGCTGAAAGCAAACAGAAGAATCTTATTCTTTTTGTTACCTCCCTCTTCTAGATGCTCATTCAATTGTTTTTCACTTAAATGTTTTCCGATATTAGTTAATCTTTATAAAACTTTAACTTCTATGACACAAATCGTACCAAAATAAATGTTGTTGATCACAGAATCTCTACCCTCTACAAGAAATGTCATTGACCTCTAATTTAAAATTATACGGACCCCTAATTCAAGCAATCTGGGGTCCATTGTATTGTAAAGCGCCGGGTCTATCGCGCATGCGTTTTTATAACCCGGGTTTGTCAGTCGTGCTTGTGTCTAGGAAATAACTAGTAGCCGAAAATACTGTGTAAATATGTCGGAAAAGACGAAAATCGAGGCGGCTGAGACCATAGGTCTTCTGGAGAAAAAGGTAAGGTTTTTGTGTTAAGTTTGCCGTTCAATTCACTAACCTAAATATTTTTGAAAGGTCAAAGTTTGAAGGACACGGGGTTACTTCAAATTATCAATGGTTACAACATACGACCTTAAAGTATTTAGTATTTTATCTATTGGTTTTATGAAGAATTTATGACAACATAACATAACAAAACGTGTTAACGTTAGCTTGTATTAAATAGTAGTTTTAATTTGAAAAAGATATTGCTCAATTTACTATTTTTGTTATATAATAATGAACTAGTTATTACAAACAAAAGAGTTTAACTAATGAGGAAGAAATACCTTATAAAATTAATAATGAAATCGTAAAACATGTATTTATAATATACTTTACTTAGGTAGTGAGTGTTATTCTGTTAAATATTGTTAGAAAGGCCGTCACAGGATTTTTTTTTTACGATTTTTGTGTATATTTTATAATACAGAAACTCGCCCGTTACCCCATATAAATATTTTGCCAAATTTTCTATGATGAGCAAGCACTGCGCTATGAAATATATATAATATATACAATCAATAAATCTCAATAAATAAAAGCAATTCCTAAAAAGTATGGCCAAGCCAAAAC